TAACATCTGTGATTGCTGCCTGGGTCACATACTCGTATTTATCACAAAAACCATTTCTTTTTTCTTAGTTTCAGTTTTCTATGGGTATAGGGTGCGTGTCTGTCTGTTGGTCACGTTTCGTTTCGTCTAGTCTTCACTACGGAAAATCCTAAACGGCACTACCCAAATGTGAAAATGTGTGTATACCTGCATGTGTATCATCTATTAGTCACTCTCGTGTCATTTTCGTGTCTAGTACCTAAAACTGAATCGTCTTGTTGTTTCGCATGGGTAATCCATTCTATGAACAGATTGCTTGTAATTTCGCAGCTTCGGTTGCTTGTGCTTTTACGAAATAGTACACACATATAAAGCTAATAGTTGTTCAGTATATATGTAAATAAATGCTTTTACAATGCTCAAAATATGTAAACACTATTATGTAAGTATATGTATGATTTCCTTAATTTTTTGGGAATTGACTTATCAGCAACAAGAACTTTTTTGTTATTCGATGTTTTTTCTTAAGATAAGAAGTTAAAACTACAAGTAAAATAATATATGAATACAGCACTGGATGTGGAGGTCGCCGAGTAGCATGTCGAGTCTAAAGGTTGAAAACCTATTGAGGTTTTAATAAACAAATCGAGTCGATAGGACGTGTTCGTCTATATGAACACATATTTTGAGAATTATATCACATTATATTTTATAATTATAACAAATCATATGAAGCCTCACTACTTTATATATTTACTATAGGACCGGTCGTTCCAGAAATCAAAATACATTATTGTTTTTTGATATCGTAACCATGTACTAATTTTGCTTAGGACCTATTTGTCGTCAGGCACCTCAATCTGAATCCAATTCGGCTTACGGGCGCCATAGGAAACATTTCTACAAGGTTTATTTAAGTTATATGGGTATTCAAGCTTCGAGCTGGCACGACCTAATTAAATATTTAAAAGCAATGTTCCATAAAGCACATCTCAATTCTCGTCATAAAGCCACATCGTGTCCTTTTCACTGTCAAATAATATTATTTCCGCACGTGCATCATTCTGTTAAAATGTTGCCTCATTGTTGACGCTTGCACCTTTTTAAACATTGACACGCGATTCGCTTAACCGCACATATCGTGATTTAGGTTTACAAAAATAGTCTACAAAAGGCAGTGCAATAATTTTATTGGATCTTTGCAGTGACGTAGCTAATATATAATTATTATTACATGTTACATATAATCACATGTACCATCGGTATAATAAACGTTAATTGCTGGTATTTTCCCAAAGTCAAACAATGGCATACCTGCCTTATGTGTCACAAATATGTATATGTACTACTAATGTAATGGCATAGTTTAACTATTAACATTGTGTTCTTGCTTATTAGTATTGAAGTTTATTATAATTATCTCACTCGCAAACATATACATATGTACATATATGTATGTATGTACATACAAACTACTGAGGTATGTATGTATTTGAATTGGACTTTGATTTATTGAATGTATGGAAATAATATGGACTTATGGATAATATTACGAAGAAATTGCCTGAAATATTTACAAAAAACAAGAGAGGATGCAACAGATCTCTGTTACATTTTTGTTTTTGCACAAACCGAATATACCCTTTTAAATTTCATATACTTGTACTTATATACGTATTTAATATATATAACCAAAATAAGTTCGTATTTCTATTTCTATTGCTTGAAAACTACTGAACTTGGTTAAGGTTGTAATACTCATTTAAATAAGACATTTTTATACTCTGTACATGAAATGTTTAAGAGTATATTAGGTTTGCGGGAAGTAAATGTAAGAAGAAGAAAAATGTAACAGGCAGAAGGAGGTGTGGCAGACCCCACAAAGTATATATATTCTTGATCAGCATGACAAGACGAGTCGATCTAGCCCTGTCTGTCTGTCTGTCTGTCCATCTGTCCGTCCCTTTGAACACCTGGATCTCAGAGACTATAAGAGCTAGAGACACCAAACTTTGCACAAAGATGCGTTACGTGTGTACGCTATACGAGTTTGTATTATTTTCAAACATATTAAAATGAGCAGAAATAGGCCAGAAAGCGATGGTTAATTGCATTGACGAATCGCCATAGGATTACCCATTGGACTATTTTGAATATAGCCACAAAATTTGATCAACATCGGTTGGGCTGTTTCGGAGTCTATACGGAAAATATATATATACATAGATACATTCTTCCATTTTTTATAGATAGATAAATAGATTTATGTATGTATATAACTTTAAAAAATGTCTCAGATGCTAAGCAATGTCAGGTGTACTGACACCTGTAAAAATTATTGCGCAACGTGCCCCTGGTATTTGTAGTATTGTCCTACATATACTACATATACATACATACTTGAGGTCACTGGTAATCTTGACCTGTTTAATTAGGGTCTCATTTTGCATTTTTCTATTGATGTGCTTGCTACATATACATATGTACGTGTTTCTTGCATTCATATTTCAAATCGGATGCCTCTATTGTTCGGCTTTGGCTTTCTATTGGAATTGAAAATTTGAAACTGTATATAAAGAGGCTTTCCTTTTAAGTTGTTGATGTCGTGGTTATGATACGTATCGCTTCTGATAATTCAGGCTCTTCTATTGTTCTTGAAGGTATGAATCAACTTAATTCAACCAGTTTAACTTTAGTTCCCTCTAATAAGATAATGATGTGGTGGCTACAAATAATGCTAAGCAGTTGTTTAAAGTCCGTCAACCAATTGCTCACTAGTAGAACGGTTAAAGTCGCAAGATTCTTGGAGGCTATGTCTCCAATCAAAGAATTAGTAATACCTATACGGTAAGAAGGGGAAAGTCTCACACATACACGATACAGCGCTATTAGCGTTTCTACGGATGGATGGATGGGTGATGGGACAGTCGGGGGGAGATCTATTTCCCGAACCTTCGGGTAAACCACTCCTTCCTTCTTTCAGATCACTGTAGTGATACTCCCGTCCATAGTAAATGGCAAACCCGCACTTAAGGCAGTTGATTCGAATATAGGCAAATCCAGGACCCTTGCCCAATAATCTCCAAGAAATACCAAAAAAGGAGATAACATTTGCACCACCGCGGTGGTTTAAGGCGGACATAGACCGATAAAATGGTGCAATGGGCCAGTTTAGCCTGAGTGTGCGGACTAGAAAAACCACTCCATTTCAACCTATCATTATCAAATATTTAACAATCAAAACGCTTAAATAGATCTGGACAGCAACGGACAAACTAAATGTCAATCATTTTAATAGCACTATACTATATACATATTTACATATATTCATATTTCATTTCATTTATTCACAAAAATTGGCATCATAAATTGGTGTGTATCTGTAATTAGTTAACAATAAAGAGTACAGGTTATTAAACCATATCAACTTAAATATATATAAATGTATATACAATTTCCATTTTTGTCTTAAAAACATTTGCAGCTAATATTTTTGAAGTACATGTACATTTTAGTATTTACATACTGCTTAAGTGGATAAATGACGCATTTTAGTATATGCGCTTTATTCGCACTTGCACATACATATGTACACAGTGTACATACGCATTGCATTCATTCGGATATGATATGATATAAAAGTAAACAATTTGTATATTGTATGAACGTGTGTGTGTGTGTGTGTGTGTGTATGAATTATGAAAACACCAAGTAGGCTGTGACCAAAGGCAGACCAATGTGCGTGAGCTTAAAGTGCAGCGACACTAATTGAAAGTAAATTATTCCACTTGAATACAGTGGGGCTACAGTTGCGGCTGTTGCTGCTACTGCGACTGATAAAGCAGCTGCTCTTGGTGATGGTGATGAGCAACGGAAATGCTTTTGTTGTTGCACATAGTATTTATCATACTATATATTATATATAATAAACAAACCCAGAGCTGCAGATACAGAAATCACTCTACATAAGTATTTGCAAAACAACTGTCCAGAATTGTATTCCAGCATAGATGTTTATGAAGAGGACAAACATGCAATCATTATAGTGCGAGTGTACATGGAACACACAGAATGAGGCGTGGAAGACCCCACAAAGTTTATGTACCCTTGATCAGCACGACGAGGTCGAATGTGCAGGAAATTATAGCCAAAAGTGTACTCCCTCCCCAATTCCGCAGCTTTGGGTTTGTTGCTGCTTTGGCTCAACTCTGTACTACACATATATTCGAATTCATAGTCATGCATAGACACTTTATTAAATTTAAAAAAATAACAAATTTAATTAATTAATTTTTTTGTGGTTTTTTAGGGAATGGGTATAAGGTTTAAAAGTTGAGTCCCTTCATATATATATATTTGTATACTGGTCTTTATCTCTTCTAAAGTATGTGTAACTTCAAATCCTTACATGGACAATAAGCATGCTTACTCCACAAAATTACAAGATACAAACAAATCTGATCTTGAATATGCAACATAATAGCACTTGACAAAAATCAAATTATAAAAGTAACCCAAAATTGGATCGTATGCCTTCGTTGCTAAACTTAGACTAAAACTCCATTTTGTACTTAGCGTCTACTAATCCCTCTTACAAACCACTTCTTCACGCCTCTTTAATAAATCAAATAAAAGAACGCACCTTAGGGGTTCTAAACAAAAATTTGTTCTTTGCACATTGATTGCTCATTAAAATAAAAAACAGATCAACGGTATCCGTCGTTATACATTGTAGATGTGAAGAATATACTTGCATTGAAGTGCTAATTATATAGACTTGTGATAATTTTTATCACAAGTTTTCAAACCAAATAGAAAGTTTATTTGTATGATGAAGGATTTATTTTCAGATAGAAAAACCCAAAGATATCGTCGCAAAAACTGGCTGTTGGTGGGGAGCCCTTTTTAGCATAACTAGAATAAATATACACCAGTGATGATAAATATTATTGCCAAATAATAGCTTTAGTAAAATGTAGGGGCTGCGCAGTGTATGAGCAATGAAAAACAAAAAGAGTGGATGCTTTTTAAAATGTATAATGTTTTTTTTTTTTCGTTGCTGCAACACAAAATATATTTTTGTTTGTATGTGTTCTAATTGTAAGACGCACTGCAATGCATGAGTATTTTGGTATTTGGGTGTTTCGGTAAGTGCTTTGGTATTTGTTCAAGTATTTAAAAGTTTGTTTGCTTTGTTTGGAATTTAAACATCATGTGTAAAATAGTTGGCTTTTATAGCCACACCCACATCAGTAGAGCAGGCGCAGTCGCAGCTGTTTTAATAGCTCGGATAGGTGCTGATGGACTAGGAATAAAATCGAAATCACGAAGCCAATCAATCCGATGAGGAACAACCAGGGCGTCGCCACCACAGCAATGAAAAAAAGCACGGTGTCGTTGGTCTTTGCATTAGTCATGCGCCACATAAGTTCCCGCATAGCGCTCCGCAGAAAGAACTTGCTGCGCCACAAGCGAAAGCGCAGCTTGGAGGTCGCATGAGCCAGACGTAATCCCAATACGAGCATGATTCCTAACAAAAAGCCGAGAAACTGCAGCAGCATGAGCAGACACTTGCAGAAGGAGTTTGTCTGGCAACGCTGCAATGCCAGCTCCAGCTGCTGCTGTCGCTGCGGCTGCATGCCAGACATCAGCAAATTGTAGAAGCCACCGAAACGCGTCTCTGTGTTCTCCTTCCTCTGCACTTTCTCAAGCTGTGCGCAATATTCGGACTCAGAATCGGTTTCATGCAATTGCTCCTGGTTACTGTGCTTATCCTGTCGCTGGGGGTGATTATTCATTGTGCACATCAATGGACAAGAAGCATTCTGACTAATGATGTTTCCCAGCTTAGAGCCAGACGGGAACATGGATATGTCGCCCTCGTAGTGGCCATTGAAAGTGTTCTTCTCTGGAACGCGTTGTGGACTATAAGACATCCCACCTCGCTGAGGTGTCGTCAAGTGATTGGACATTTGTTGATCCTCCATACTGAAAAATAAACCATGAACTTAATCTATATAGTAGGGTAGGTAGGGTTCGTAAAATGCGAGCAAAACTCATTCGGACCCACGAGAAATTCTGCCGCGGATCGTCATGGGTCGCTGCCGACTGGCAGAGGTCATGGGCAGTGTGAGCTGACTGTTGTTCGCCGTGGGTCGCTGCCGACAGCAGCAGAGTGTCGTACGAGCCGGGCGGCAGAAGCCGAGCGCAGGCCGGATCATACGACAATCTGGTGCTGTCGGCAGCGACCAACGATACTCACGGGCTCTACCGGCAGCGACCCACTACTAACCGCGGGGCCAATTATGTTTGTCTATAAACCGAATTAATATACACGAATTTAAGAGGCTACCAACTCAAATAGTTGAGCCTTTAAACAGTATGCGCAAAAGTAACGGTGCACAGCTAGCAGCGTTAGATTCGCACGGCGAACCTACGTCAACTAACTTCGCATTCAGCTGCACTGGCAGCAGCAGAGACTAAGAAAAGGATAATAAAGGAAATGTACAAAGAGAGCAATTATTGAGCGCGATCAAAGCAAACATAAGAGTTATTAAACGTTTAGCGCTTTTTGCTTCGAAAGAAAGGTAAAATTTGTATATATGCATGAATAATTATGCGTCTGCTGCGGACGACTGGTCTGCCTGTGCCTGCTGCTTGACCAAACATACACTCTTGTGAAAATTAGCGAAGAATTCATGCTCGATTTTTTAGAATGCTTACACAATGAGCCGTCGATATGGAAAAGCAAAAGCGACAATAAAGCAAGTGATAAATTACTTGCCGAAATGTTCTGTCAAATGATATTCGCAAACAATGTTCGCAACGCAATGTTCGCAAATGTATTTGTGCTGGCGAGCAAGATCGGCCGGCATGCACCCCTGTGGATGGGGTGCTTAACAGAGCATTGATTTATTACTTTCAGACATGTCTATGAGTGTACTTAGTTCTTTAGTTGCTTGTTTAACTGTGCTTATTAACTGTAGCTAAAAAGATGGCTCAAAAAAATCGGACAATTTCATGTTGTTGGAAGTCCTAAAAATGTACTTTCATCATTCAACATTTTTAAAAACAATAAAAAGATTAAAATAATAGGTTGGAGTATTTAAGAACTTTAAAAACTATTTAAAAACACATACTCACCCCCCACCTATGGATCCACGACGATGATTTACAGTCCGCATCAACTTTTTTGGCGACTGACCCTGTGTTAGAAAGGGCATTTCATTTAGTCCCTCAGAGTCGAAATGATTGCCTGCAAGAGCGGACGAATTAAAACTGGTAGCGCTGAAGTGCTGGGCGTTGAAATTGGCGCCAGAGTAGGTGGCGGTATTAAAACTGGTGCCGCTGAAGGCGCCCCCGGGGTAGGTTGATCTTTGCATTCTGTTCCAGAGAAGTTGTAAATTTCTGTTGTCAATCATTTACTTTTATCCCTTACCTATCGAATTTGCTGTACGGTCACTCGTCCAAGTTTTTAGAGGTGTCGTTCCTATATTTTATAGCAAATTTTTCGAGCATGCAGTGTCGAAATTGTTTACTTACTGATGAATCTTTTCCTTTCAATTTAGCCATGTTACGGCCAGCCTACTAATTTATGAAACAATGAAAGAATTTTAAAACTAATTGAAAAATGTTTTCCATTGTAGAGTGCAGAATTTGGCCTTTGTCTCCTGGTGATACGCCATCGCTGACTCAACTGACATCAATACGATTCATTGTCTCTAAAAGGCAACGCCTCAGTTCAGTGGCATGTATTAAGCCCCATTTGTGGGCTGACCATCGCTTAGACGGACGCACTGCCTGCTAAACCGGAACACCAACTTAGAGGGCAAATATGATTTTTAGGGTCGGCTTAATGCTGGCATTGCTGGTGTTAGTTCATGCCGATAATTTTGAGGATGCAGACAACGAATTGGACCTGAATGGACCCAACATATGCAAGAAGAAGGAAAAGTAAGCAAAACATCCTCAGATCAGACTCACTATATAAATCGAATTCATTGCCTTGCAGCTACGACGTGGAAGTGACCACTACTGAGTGGCAATCATATCAGGAGCGCGGAAATACCTGGTGCGTTAGTTTACCTCCACGCTGCTCTACGTACCGCATCAAAAATCGGATTGTAAACAAGACAACTACATTATCAAAGACGCGCATTTTCCGCGACTGTTGTGGTGAGTATAAAAAAGCGTAAATCTCCCGAAAATGTGAAATCCAAAAACTAAAACATGCCCATAAAACAAAAATAGAATGATAGAGTCGATCTGACCCAACTCTTAAATATCTTATACCCACTCACAAAACCAAAAAATAAAATAAACATATAAAATATTAATGCATCAGATAAAATACATAGACTTGATCTACCTAGGGCATAGGGGAACCTTGATACCAAGTTTGGTTATTCTAGCTCTTATACTTCATGAGATCCTTGCGTTCATCCAGACGGACGTATATGCCTATATCGACTCGTCTTGCCATACTGAGCAAGGATAGGTACATTGGGGGTCTGCTACATCTCCTTCTGTGAACTACATACATTCGCACGAAACGAAGTATCGAACGATCGAATGTTTTAGAAAAAGTGTCCGCCGAAGAAAGTTTCCGGATAAAAGAAGTGTTCATTAAGGGAGTTTTCACTGTAGTATACCCTTTCAACTAATAATTTAGTTGTAATATCACAATAAACAAAAGTAGAGTTTGAAACTATTACTACACTATTAAGCTGCCAGCATTCAAAAATTCTCGTTGCTTATACGCCGTATACACGGAACTGTCTGCAACGACTTGTTTTGCCTTGATAATAGATGCATTGTACATGTGTACGGTGCAAATACACGGGATATCTGGCAACCCTTGGTTATAGCGAGTCCAATGACTCGATGGCAGGTCACGTGAAAGCAAACATCAGCCATAGCCTACAATAGAAAGATTCCTAACGTATAAGGTCCGTTTTGTAAAACGCTGCACTTATATAAAAGTGGTACCATTCATTATTATTCAGTCCATTATATACAATTGGAATTTGGAGATTCTAGTAAGTATGTACTTATATTGGGTACAGGATACCTCTGGAGACTGGAAATATAACATTTTCTATATGATATAAATTTATTTTTTGTTAAATGGGTACTGGGTATTTAGGAGCTGAGCCCACACGAGGGCTGAGGCTTGTTTGTGCTTTATTTTCAATTGTTTTAAATTATTGAGCAATCCCGCGGAGAAGGCTTTGCCTTGAAAGCTGTTCAATTCCAGCCTGATCTCTCTTTCGGCGCGGTTAATGATATTGTAAACTGTTCTTAGTTCAAAGTGAAATGTTTCAGCCAACTGTTTGGGTGTTTTTCTCTTGCTATAATAGAAAAACACTAGCTGAATCAAATGATCATTATTGCATTACTACACTATTAAGCTGCCAGGCAGTGCGAAAATCCTCAAAGAGACAGATACGTGGCCGAACCGAAGCAAATTTTTCAAGGAATGATTAGAAGTTGCATAGTACAGATGAATATTTTCATATTAAATTTAATGTATAAAATCATATCGTTTTTATGACACTATACTATATAATCCACACATGTAGCTATAGGTAAACTCGGTTAACGATTGAAGTAATGATTGAAGAAGAGTAGCACACATACAGACACGGACATCGATCATGTACTTTTATGTAGGTGCCTATTAAAAGTGGTATTTCTTTGGGTATAAAAAGCTAAGACACCATAAATATGTGCCTTTTCGTGATTCGCTTGACAAATTTTCATTAATTAATAACAATTTTCAAATTTTGTATGAAAGTTTGTGAAATTGCTGAGTGTTTTTTGGAGTGTCTTCTAACTACTATATGTATATTTATAACTTTAATAATAACTACATATATACATATGTGTGCGTTATCTTACAGATGGTTACATGCGAAGCGGTAAAGAATGCGTGCCGCATTGCAGCGAGAAATGCCAGCATGGCCGATGTATAGCGCCCGAGAAGTGCAAATGCGATCATGGATATAGCGGACCAGCTTGTGACATAAGTTAGTTTTGGCACGTTTCTATGTAGCTAACCACATTTTATTTGCTTCTTTATATGTATATATAAGCCTTGATAATGGACTGCCTTGAGTGAATTTGTGTGTAGGAAAACATATGACATGGCTCCTCATCATTGTCTTCCTGAAAATGTTTAATACACTTTGTATGAACTCCCTTTTCTAAAAGCAAAGCGAGCTGATGAGGAGACCACAACCATATGTTTACAATGACGCCGTCTAACCCAAGTCCCTGTCCTTACCAACTGCTCTTGCACATTAAGTAAATGCTTTTTCACTGTTGTTTGTTTCTGTTTGTTCAAATGCTTTTGTGTTGCGTTTTATGTTCAAATAGCAGCATACACATATACATACACTATATATGCCACATACACACATATCTATAATCTATCTATATTGCAAACTCTAACTCTACCACGCAATGCAAATTAGACACGTGTGGCGTATGTGTAATTATTTCAAGCTGCCTAGCACCTGTGGCCAAAAAACAAACACTCCAGCGAACTAACTGTAATTGTCCAGCGCTAAACCACCCACCTTGTACCACCGATACTTCCACCGCCGTCACGAACTAAGCTCAAGGGCTGATAACACAACATCAACTTACCAATTCACAATTCCACAATTCTCCGTCAGATTGCCCGCCTGGCCTATACGGACGAGACTGCAGCATGAAGTGCGATTGCCTGAACAACGCCAGCTGCGACGCGTACACGGGAGAGTGCGAATGCGCCAAGGGATATGAGGGTGAGAAGTGCGGTCAAGTGTGCCCTCCGGATCGCTATGGTGCCAAGTGCTCGGAGGAGTGCCGTTGTGAGAACGGCGGTAGCTGCCACCACGTCTCGGGCGAGTGCACCTGTGCTCCAGGATTCACGGGTCCATTGTAAGTGATGGAGCAGAACGAGAAATTACGCAATCCCAGCAAACACGGTTGCCACTTAGGTTTCTTTTGCATAAAACGATATTTTCTAGGTAATAATATTCCTAGTTGGTAGCATGGACAGGTTTATCGCCACAAGTATCTACCTAGCTACCATGATGAAAGCTCTTTCTAAAAGGTTTCGTAGACTGTAGTACTCTGCAATATATTTGTGTGTATGTTGTCGAATAAGCAAAAGAAATTATACAGCAATTATTTAACTTGGAATGAGAAGAGAAATTGTCAGGTTTTTGGGCTTTATCAGCAAGATAACCCACGGTCCCACTTATTTTCGAAATGTAATTTTCACGGGCTGTATGGCCCACTTCTGTTGCTGAGTGGCAATCGCGATCGCTAGGCACTGAGATCGAACTTAACAGACTCCCTCCTATAGGTGTGACATGTCCTGTCCAGACGGGAAACACGGAGTCGAATGCAAACAGGACTGTCGTTGTCAGAACGACGGCAAATGTGAGTCCAAGAGCGGCGCCTGCCAATGTACGCCCGGTTGGACGGGCGAGGTGTGCGCCAACAAGTGTCCCACAGGCAGCTACGGTCCCAATTGCTCGCTGACATGCGAATGCTTCAAGGGAGCACCCTGTCATCATATAACGGGCAAATGCGAATGCCCCGCCGGCTATATGGGCGAGCGTTGCTTCGAAGAGTGCCCCTTCAACACCTACGGAGTTAACTGCACGCAACAATGTAACTGTCTTAATGACGCCAGTTGTGATAAGGCCACTGGAGCCTGCATCTGTGCAAGGGGCTGGCGGGGCGTGACCTGCGAGGAGCGCATCTGTGCTGAAGACAAGTTCGGAGTGGACTGCAACAGTACGTGCGAGTGCGACATGGAAAATACGGAGCTGTGCCATCCGGAGACAGGCAATTGCCAGTGCAAGCCTGGCTGGAGCAGCGCCCAATGCAACCGACCATGCACCTTCCTCAAGTACGGTGTGAACTGTAAGCAGAATTGCAATTGCAAGAACAATGCCAGGTGTTCACCATTGAACGGCACATGCCTGTGTGCGCCCGGCTTCAGAGGATCCACCTGTGAGGAGACCTGCCCCGAGGGCTTTTACGGGCAGGACTGTGCGCTGAAGTGCGACTGTGAGAATGGCGCAAAGTGTGTGCCCGAGACTGGGCAGTGTAACTGCACGGCCGGCTGGAAGAACATCAAGTGCGATCGACCTTGTGAGCTGAACTTCTACGGCGAGGATTGCAAGAATGCCTGCCAATGCCAGAATAATGCCGCGTGCAACCCGCAGAATGGAAAATGCACCTGTGCCGCCGGCTTTAAGGGACAGAGGTGCGAGCAAAAGTGCGAGTTGGGACGCTTTGGCCAGCAGTGCACGCAAAAATGTCAATGCGATGGCAGCAATACGATTGCATGCGATCCCGTGGACGGAAGATGCATCTGCAAGAACGGCTGGGGAGGTATGTTGGGGGGTCGCACTCATTCAACTTCTATTCTCACTCTCACTCTCACATTGTCATTGACACACTAACACACAAACACTCCAAGCTGCACATCCATTATTTATTTCATTTCTGCATGATCTTTTGTTGCTGTTTTGATTTGTAATTCGCACCTTCTGTTTGTCTGTTCGGTGTCATCCAACTCCCGTCGTCCAAATCCAAAAGGCGTCCATTGCGAGACGAATTGTTCGAGCGGTTATTACGGTGAAAATTGTGATCAAGTTTGCAGATGTCTGAACAACTCGTCCTGCGACCCCGACACTGGAAACTGCATTTGTTCGCCCGGCTGGACCGGCGAGGACTGCGCACAGCCATGTGCACCCGGATTCTACGGCATGGGATGCAAGGAACGTTGTCCAGAGTCAACACACGGTAAGTAAAGCCAATTACACTATCTTTATATACAAGGAGTAGATCCATGTACTTACTATACTTTAATCTTTGCAGGCAACAAGAGCTGCGACCATATCACGGGTGGTATACGTTGCCGGGCCGGGTACATTGGCCTTACCTGTGAGCATCCCTGCCCGACTGGCTACTATGGGCCAGGCTGTACGCTTAAATGTAACTGCGAAAACGGCGGCGAGTGTAATCACATTAGCGGTCAGTGCCATTGCTTGCCCGGTTGGACGGGTCCTAACTGCAATGTGTCCTGTCCGACGGACTTCTATGGGCCGGATTGTGCTCAGCATTGCCGTTGTCAGAATCACAAGGGTTGTCGCAAGAATGACGGTCTCTGCATTTGTCTGGCCGGATGGATGGGGATACGCTGCGACGAGGTATGTCCGGAGGGCTTCTACGGCGAGCACTGCATGAGTTCGTGCGCCTGCCCCACTTCCAATTTCGTTTGCCATGCAGCGAAGGGATGCGTGTGTCGCAGCAGCTTCACAGGTCCCAATTGTGATGAGCTGATTGCATCTCAGCGCGTGGCCGAGGCGGACAATGAAAGTAAGTGACTATAATCAATATTAAAAGAGAAAGACATTTAATCGGCCATATCCAACTTATGCTTACAGCTAACCGCTCAAGCGTTGCCTTGATTATGATGCTCTTTACGCCCTTGATATTCATTATTTTGGGCGTGTTATTATACTATCGTCGTCGCGTTTCAAATCTGAAGACGGAAATTGCACATGTACAGTACATTAGCGATCCAAGTGGGCCAAGGGCCGAGCGCAATCACAACTTCGATAATCCTGTTTATGGCATGAACCACGCCGAGTCTTGCTTGCTCCCCAATAATTTGCCTCCCAAATTGAATAATCTTGATCTCAATGCCTCACTTTGCCCCGACTATGGCGACGATTCAAACGCCAGCAGCAGAGTTGGCAGCTACATGATCAACTACAACCACGAACTGCTAAAGAAAAACATGACTGCCGATCTCACCAATCCGAATGTGTATAACAGTATCGAGGATCCGCTGAAGGAAGAGCATGTCTATGATGAGATCAAGCAGAAAGAGGGATACAAAGATCCCGGTAGGTGAAACATTTTGTTCACGCTGTAAATATTCTAAGCTAACCATTGCATCGAATATACTATATTCCATACGCATAACTCCAACATGAAATAGTGAAAATTTATAGCAAGCGATTGTTTCCAGAGGGTAAGCAAGCGTTACGTCCATGTCACCCTTTTTGCTTATCTGTGCTGTCTAGCTAGTTTATGTGTTTGATAATCAATATGGTTGTTATCTAATAACATTTTCCTCTGCCCCCTCATAGACGAGTACGATCACTTGGACTACTCACGACCTAGCACATCGCAAAAACCGCACTACCATCGAATGAACGACACCATGTTGAACATCAATCTCGAGGAAGAGAAGCCCAGCAATCTAAAAAATATGACAGTATTGCTAAGCAAACCGGAACCACCGGTAGACCCAGAGCCGCAGCATGATAGTCTTGACAATAACAATTTGGATAATGAGTCAGCAGTAACGGCTTCGCCCAGTTCCAGTCCAGAGCCGCAGAAATAAATAAATCTGGAAAAGTCAATAATGTATTGTTACCATAATTGCATCGCTCTTAATTTTTATAAATACATATTTGTAGCATAATTTGTACTTGTGAAATGTCTGTCTGCATGATTTTTATACCCTGTACCCGTAGGGTAAAAAGGGTATATTAGGTTTGTGCAAAGTATGTAACATACAGAAGGAAGCATCTCCGACCCCATAAAGTATATATATTCTTGATCAGCATGACGAGAGAAATCGATCTAGACATGTCCGTCCGTCTGTCCGTCCGTCTGTCCGTCTGTCCGTCTGTCCGTCTGTCCGTCTGTCCGTCCGTCTGGATGAACGCGAGGATCTCAGAAACTATAAAAGCTAGAATAACCAAAGTTGGCATCCAGGTTCTCCTAGGTCCGAGTAAGGACGAGTTTATTTTATTTTTTGGAATTTTCCCCCCCTTCCCCCGCTACAGAATTTCGTCAATAGCGTCCACATTTCAAATGCTACATTTACCAAACTTTGCACACATAATTTATATATAATTGTCTACTGTTGTATAAAATTTTATTCAATTCGGTCAATTCTAAGAAAAGTTATTAGCAAAACAAATTCTCGCCAGTACAACCCCCACAAACTGCAGCAACAAGTTCGCTCGTCTTCTTCCTCTTTTTGCTGCTGCTATGGGCGCATATAACTCAGTGACGGAAGTTTACCTGGGTACAGGGTATTACACTGTCGGGCTTGCTCGACTGTAGCGTTCTCTCTTGTTTAAATTATGAACCTACACCCCTAGCGTAATGTGTTAAAATATTGCTCAAAATTAATTGTGCCACCTTTGCTTAACAAATTGTAATACCTTTTTGTATATTCTTAATTATTGATTGAGCTGAGTTGTTCTAATACTTATGTGCATTGTATTTTTATAGCCTGTACCCAAAGGGTAAAAGGCTATACTAGTTTTGCGAGAATGTATGTACCACAGAGAAGGAGGCGGGGCAGACCCCACAAAAAATATATATTATTGATCAGGAAGACAAGTCGAGTCAATATAGCCATGTCCGTCTGTCCGTCTGTCCGTCTGTCCGTCCGTCCGTCCGTTCGTCTGTATGAACGCAAGGATCTCAAGAAGTACAAGAGCAAGAATAACCAAACTCGGTATCCAGATTCTCCTAAGTCCGAGAAAGGACGAGTTTATGTTTTTTTCTGATGCACCCCCACACCCCCACAATTCGTGTTTTTCATAACTCCCGTAATTCTTTCCCGTAAACTCAAATTTGGCATATACATCCAGTTTGTCGTTATGTATCCGTATGTCCAGTTTCATCATGATAGGTCAATTCTGAAGAAAGTTATAGCCGTAAATAAATGCTCTGCTTGTAGCTCTGCCCGCAGTTGTTGTTGTTGCTGCTTTGGTTCAACTTTGCGTTGCATACATACTCGCATAAAACACGCATAGACACGACGATGAAAATGTATGCTGTTGAAACTGTACATAAACATGTCTTCTATGTATGTATTTATATTTAATTTAATTAATTAATTTAATTCTTTTTAAATAATTAAATTTTTTAAATAAATTTTTTTATACTCTGTACATGAAATGTACAAGAGTATATTAGGTTTGCGCGAGCTGAAAAATGTAACAGGCAGAAGGAGGCGTGGTAGACCCCACAAAGTATATATATTCTTGATCAGCATGACAAGATGAATCGATTTAGCCCTGTCTGTCTGTCTGTCTGTCCGTCCGTCCGTCCGTCCGTATGATCACCTAGATCTCAGAGACTATAAGAGCTAGAGACACCAAATTTTGCACAAAGATGCCTTATATGTGTACACTATACGAGTTTGTTTTATTTTTTTGATTTTACCCCCCACTTCCCCCTATGGGGGTTTTCCCGATTTTCCATTCGTATAATCGCTTATATCTCGGAGACTATAAGACCTAGGAACACCAAATTTTAGTCCAAGATGCCTTGTGTGAATACGCAGAAAATGTATATTTTGGAATTTCCCTCCCTCCCCCTCCCCCGCAATCGCGATTTTCTCTAACTCCCGTAATTCTTGGAATTTCGAACTAAAATTTTGGAAATTCCCCCAGTTAGTTATTATGTGTCCGTATGCCGAGTTTCACTATGATAGACCGATTTAACAAGAAGTTATATCCAAAAATATATTTGCTGTTGCAGCGCTGCCCAAGCGCTGCCCGCGGCTGTTGTTGATGTTGCTGTTTAGTTGACTGCGAAAATGCTTACACAGACACAAATAGATGCGCATAGGCATACATACACTCACATAGACGCAATTGCTTTGTATATGTGCAATTATATACCCTTTACGTGAATTCGAATACCGAGAAAGGTAAAATCGATCCAATTTTTTTTAATTTTCTTATTTTTTTTCTATAATTATTGTAAACATATGTACAGAGTATTTCAAAGTCGGGACACCCGACTTTAGCTGTTTTACTTGTTTAATTTTCCTTTTTTGTGGAGAGTACAGGCTATTTTACTGTCGGGCTTGCTCGAATGTAGCGTTCTCTCTTGTTAATTATGAATTAAGTACCTCTTCCTGTTGAAAATTTTGTACAATATAATTGGAGGAAAGTTTAAAATTTGCTGTGCGAGCGCTGCGCGTGCTACGTCTTTAAGACAACCTGTACCGCTTCGGCATAAATAAAGGGTTGCAATAAATTTTTACAAAGCAATAAATATACATTTATAATACATTAAAATAAAAAATAATAAAATTGTATTTACATTTTAAATAAGACACATACATACAAGTATAATTAAGTGGAATTATCGAGTAGATTACTAAAAATGGAATGCGTGTGCGCTCGGCCCTTTTATACCCTGTACCCATGCGTTAAACAAATCCTTTTGATCACATTTGTAAAATGGATAATTTGAAAAAAATATGTATTTTAAACATAAATATTGCGCGTATATGTATCCGTGTTTGCATGTTGTATACTGTTGCCCTAACGATTTTTCGTTTGGGTGCAGGGTATACGTTTGGGTGCAGGGCATACATCTCATATAGCTGCGATATCGCATTTATTTTATCGCATAATGTTTTTGGATATCATTTATCATACAAGCAAGTCAAGTACAGTGTATTTTAGGGTTAGATTTGTAAATTGTAAGCAGACTTTCCTCGATTGGCCAAAAAGATCATGTAGCTGTGTAAAAGAAAATATTTACAATAAAATAACTGATCACAATAAACGAAAAACAACTTCTCTTAAAATAAACTAATTTGATATCTACTTATATGTTGACACCGTTATATCCTACTTAACGAAAAACCTCTGATGTTTTATAGTTCAACTAAAAATTCATACAAATGATACGATTAGGTAAGTATAGAGAAGACCGTCGCTACGTTTAAATACATTTTTTCTTTTAATTTTTCATTGAATGTACCGATTTATATGTATTTCACGTACAGAAATTATATATTATAAATTAAAACGTTAATAATGATGTGTTATATATATTTTTAAACAGTGATCTAACAAATGAAAAAATTATTTAGGTATACAAAATATCATTTGAGGCTCAGTGCGAGTGTTATATTTCGGATGCCACAGAAATAACGTTTTCATCAAATTAAAGCCATTTTAATTGGCTTAACATTGACGGGCTGAAATGTCTTTTTTAACCTAGTTATTACCCACAAATTTCTTAAATGAGAATGGAATACTAGATTCTTATAGGCCCGACACTTAATAACCATGTACCCATAAAAAGAAGGAATTTAAGGAATTCCTACTATGTATTTGAATTTTAAAGTTAAAGTATTATATTTCTTTTTAAGTACAGGATTTACAAAAAGAGAAGGGAATTGTGCCAAGGCAACTATAATTTTAACTTATTTCTTAAAAGCTGTTACCTGCTAATTGCTTCTGACAATGATTTGGATCACGTCTAAAAATTTGTCCTTAAATTTGTAAACCAATTCCACCTCTTACCTCTTTTAATTAATTAGAAATGAACTTGTATTATGAGCATAAATAAATTCGATAATGATATCTTTATTCTTTCGAGAAGATTAGTAACATATCAAGTAGGTGTCTCTGGCTGTTATGGCTACGAACAGACAGGAACAGACACCTGGAGTTATCTATTTGTAGATCGCACACTAAATTGCTGCTGGTAGCTACAAGTAAAATAGAGAATTTAAAAAACGGTCCAAAAACGGTCCAAAAACGTCAAATTATAGAAGATGAAATCCGCGAAACATGAAAAAAAATGTTTCTTTTTAAATGCAAGTAAGAGCGGTAAGACCAGTAAGAGCTTATACTTGTATTTTATCATCAGATTCCCAATATCAAGTATGACTATTGTATTCGAGCTCTGCTCTGGTTTTTCTTTGATTATTCGAATTGAAACATTAAGAATTGCATTTTTAAGTTATGAATTGCATCTTTAATTGTGTCGTTATGTAACATCACATAGGGAATTACATAAACTTATTCTCTAAATAAATACAAACACGCCCATATACATATAGTAAATACATACAAGTACAAGTTATAGGTACTTACAACTAAAAGCGTTAGCGTACAACTAAGGATTAAGAAATAAAAGTGTGTTGCCTTTTGTGAGTGTGTGGCATGACTGTGTTGTGTGACTTAAGCTTCTAAGGATGTGCAAGTTCGTGGTGATTACAAGTAGCCATGGCCGGCCACCTCAGCCGGAATGAAGCCCTCGCGCCCGTCGCGGGTCTTGACATAGAACCACTGCCGCTGGTCCTTCGACTCGCGACACTCACACAACGTCACAATCTCGCCCTTGTGCACGGCAATGCTGTCGGTGATGTAGTCCGAGTTGATGGCGACTAGAGTTTGGCGCAGGCCATTCTGCTGCTGCCTTCGTACCGCATTGAGTAGCGTCTGGGGCACGGTTAGCACCGGCGGTTGCTGTAATGGCGGTGGTTGCTGTACAGCATTCGGCTGCTGCTGCTGGATGCTCTTTGGATGCAAATGCTGGCCATTGTGGCCATTGGTGATGTATGAAGCGTTCGATAGACGTCGCGTCTGTGGTGGCGGCTGATGGAGATGCTTCTGCTTTGATCGGGACTGCTGCAATGTCACGTACTCATCATTGGATGTGGAGCGCACCGACGCGGTGGCCACCTGTTTTGTGGACCGAAGCTGCGCATAGGCCTTCTCCACTAGCTTGGGCTGTGAAGCAGCGCGCAAATACAGCTTGTCCACATGCTGCTCGCCATAGAGGGAGCCTGCCAAGCTGCTGCTGCCATTTGGCATGTGATTATTGTTGTTGTTGTTATTGTTGTGATTGCTGTGCTGCAGCAGAGTTTCCTCCGTTGGCTTGGAGCGTGGTGTGCGAGCACCATCCGAGCGCGTGCCGCCACGTAATCGAATCTCCTTCTCAGAGTCCGTCATGTTGCCGCACGGACGCGGAAACACATCCGCATTGGACTCCCAGCAGGGGGTGTGCTTGGAGCCGCGTGCCATTGGCGGCAGAATCCCGAGGGGCAGGCAACACGCATAGCCCACGTACCCCTCCTCTGCATGCGGGGTCTGCACATAAAGCCAATTCTGGTTCTTAAACACCGCATTCACGACCATGCCCAGAGGTAATGGAATCTCTAGCTGATAGCCACCCGGCCTAGTTTGGTAGAGAGTGCTGGCAGTTGCCAGGACGACGGGAATATTGCCGGGCGCCGCCAGCGAACATTTGGACAAGAACTCGTCCACATTGTGTATCTCGTAGCCAAAGCGCTGGACGCGATTGCGATCGCGTCGCTTGCGATGACGGTGCCGACGGTGTTGTTGCTGCGGCACACCCTCCGAGGCCGCCACCAGGCTCGGCTCAGAGTAGGTGCCCTTTAGCGACTCGGCAGTGGCTTCGGCGCCCCCGTCAGGAACTGGTGCTGCTGTGGCAGTAGCTGCTGCTGCGGCTCGTGCCTGCTGCAACTTGCTTGCCAACTTCTTGCGAATCTCGTTGCGCTTGCGCGCCAGCAACAACGCCTCGCTATGTGCATCACTCTTGGGGGCACGCTGAGGTGTGCAGACGAAGAGTAGCTCTTTGGTGGATGTGGAGGCGACTGGAGCACTAGGGCCACGCGCTTTGTCCTTATAGTCCAATAAATTCTGATTGCTGAAGAACTTTTGGGCCGCCAATTGTCCGTTTGAGGGGGGCAAGTGGGCGGTGGGAGTGGTGGCGTACCCATTGAGTGGCTCAGTGCCGCCGGGTAATTGCTTTACACGGTACCGTTTCTTTCCGGTCCCTACGTCCAGCTGGGTCGGCACAGGATCGACGCGTTGTTTACTTAAAGTACTGCTTGTGTTTGCGCTGCCGTTGGTATGGGCGTGTCCGTTAGGTGGCTTATCACCGGATATGTTGTCGTTATCATTTTGAGTCTGTTGCTGCGACTGTTGCTGTTGCTGCTGCTGTTGAGGTTGCTGTTGCTCCCTCAGCACCCAGGTCAGTGAGATACGCGGTCGTCGCAGGCTCAGATTCTGACCCATTGCTAGACTGCTGTTCAAGCCTACAACATGTTGCAGTTGCAGTTCCGGGGTACTCTTAGCACGTGCGGCGCCCACTAACGGCAACAGTTCATCAATCTCAACATAGTCCGAGCTATATTCAAGCGCTGAAGCTGAAATGTGTGCGACTGTTGGTGGCGGAGTTGCTGTGGGCGGAGGCGTTGCCGTAAAGTTTCCTACGGAGCTGTCGCTGCTGATGGGCTGCTGATGCAGTATCAAAGCACAAGCATGCAGCAGATCCGGACAATATGCATCTGTGGGGGTAATTAGCCAGATTAGTTTGTTGTAAATTTTTTTCTCATATTAAGGACTTTACCCCTTAAACCACGACGGCGCCTTCGCCCTCGATGGCGCCTGGTTTCGCCTACGTGTCCTAGACCTAGTGGTTCCGGCTCACTCTCACTGCTATCGCTTTGGCCTTGGCTGTTGGTGCGACTTGTGCTACTCGAGCTGCTTGCTGCGTTGATGATTCTGGCCAGGCGCTGCTCCTGCAATTCGCGTTGACGACGTCGACGTCTCGCCTGCTGGCGTACTGCATCAGCTGCTTCGACTTCTGCTCTGGCTGTTGCGGCTGCTCGTGTCGCTGCTGCATCGTCCACTCCAGCTCTCTGTAGCAGCTGAGCCGGAACTGGAGCTACTTCGGGCTGCTGTTGCACGTACGGTCTGTTTGGCAGTCGCGGTGTGTAGCTGGGCGGTGGAGTCAGAGGCAAAGGATAGTACAGAGGTGGTGGAGTACGGCGATTAGCTTCCTGACCTGCGTTGCCAGCCGCTATCACGTATAAGTTTTCTTGCGCCTGTAACTCTAAAGTGCTGACCTCGCCGTACCCGGCGAGACCTTCTAAAACTGGCGAAGTTGCTGAGCTGGCACTCCCATTGTTCTGATAACTGGACGCTGCAGGTGAAGATAAAAGAAATATTATAAGTTAAAGCACACTTACGTTTTCTTTAGGGATTTATTTCAACAAACAAAGTTATTTACTGTCCCGTTCACCTAAAGGGGTCACCTATCAAGAACACTTTTAAAAGGTATTTCAGAGAACCCATCGGCTTTGTTTTGCGGGTTGTAGGTGGGAAGTTAGATATTCACCTTCCAATTAGTTGCTCCATCCTGAGACCTGATTTGTTTTTGGTTGGCTAAGCTGCTGACATTCCACACATACCTACACGCTATTCTGATCGCGGTTAGGCTTTGGGAAACTTTGCATCCTTTTGACAATAAAAATTCCAATTATATGTGCGAAATCCCTTCAAAACAATGTTGTGGCTGTCCGTCGGTCTGCTCTTCTGCCTGCGGCCATAAAGACCACTGAAAACCGATAACAACACCTGAAAAGGCAGCTTAAAAGCGGACCAAAGGATGGGGAAGGGAATGTGGATGTGGATGAGGACGAGGACGACGACGAAGACGACGACACCCCCACAAGCTGAGCGGCGAACATTTAAAATATTTGCCAATATAAACGTCAACCTCATGGGCTTGTGGCAAGCAGGCGTCGCACATCGTGGCTGCAGTTGCTGCCAATAGTTTGTGGCCACATTTATGTGCGCTATCAAGGCCAAGATCGGCGCGCTCGAAATGGTACATCCGAAGCTTTGCAGAGCCATACCAACACAAAGCAGAGAGAAATAACAACAATAACAATAACAACAGCAACAGCAACGGCAACAGAAGACAACAGACTAAACTAGAAGATACGCAAGAAGCGTGGCCAATAAAATTCCAAACTGATATGCTCAATGGCAACAACGTGGTCAGAAGTGAGTAGTAAAATGTTAAAACGTGACGGTATTTCAAAAATACAAAATATGTTGTATCTCCCTAGCTTCCTTGCCCTCCCTTTTCTCTTGAGCTGCCGATTTTGGGCAGCCATGACGCGAACATTTGCACAACGTTCAATAAAAATGCTTAAAACTTGATGAAGCGCAGAAAGGACAACGAGGAGCAACAGCCTTGGGCCACAGAACAGAAAAGACAGGCAGGCAGGCAGGCAGGTCGCGAAGGCAAAAGCTGCGGGCCAGCAACGACTTTAACGACCTTTACAAGGCGGCGGCGGCAGCTGTCAGTCAGACTCTCGTTTAAAGACTGGCTGTGTGGTGATCGCGTGAATGAGCAAATGTAACGCATACTCACGATATTATAGAAGAACAGTCCAGAAATTTTTAGGTATTTCATAAAATAATGATTAATCAAAACATTTTTGCTTTTGTTGACCTAGTCCTCAGCATAACATACTTGTATATCAGTTACATACTATCCGGTATTCAAATTCTAAACCCACTTTTTCATCCCTAATTCTCATTAGTTCTAGACTAGCTTCAGATCTTGAATGTATAAATGGTCAATGTGCATACGACTTTAATTTGCAATACTCTAAAATTTGTCCTGCGCGAGAGCTGACATCTCGATGCGACTTTTTCACATAAAGAAACAAATCACTTAACGCGTGAAGCTCAATTGAAAATTATACGTCGTGAGTGGTTCGTGAAGCCTGTGAGAAGCAGCATTGTCACGCGCTGGACAGTGTAATCGCTAGAGCTCATGCCAGATCGTGCGAGGATTACATGTAAGTGCGCACGCCCCTCAACGCATGGGGGTGTGACGACAGGCCAAGTCAAAGTCATTCACTTGCAGGTTCGTTTCTTCAGCGGTCCAGTGGATCGGTCAACATGTTGCTGCTGCCATTGCTGCAGATCGTGATGCTGGGGCCGGCCTTTAATGGCCTTTACGTGAGCTCTGGGAGCCTGGCGGGCAAGTACAAAACACAAAAACAAAAAAACAACAAAAAACAGAAACAAAAAAAAAAAAAAACGAAAGTGTTGTGCCTTGTGCGGTCCACCCCACCAATTAAGCCCACACTCTCACACACCAACGAATACTGGCAGGCGCAAATGCCAAATTAGCTAATGACAAGATTGCAGAAATCACAGTTGCATGTGCTGGGAGGCTGCGGCGGGCTTCTTTTGGCCACCACCACCCAAAATGGCAAAAACTCTGACAAATTTGTTTTGCAACTTGTTGCGGCTCAAATATGGAACGACGAGCGGTTCGACATGTGTCTGCCTACCAAACGGCCTCTTGGGGTATTGGCCACTTACATATCCATATGGTTGCGCCTTGGTCGGTTTGTCGGTTGGTCAGTTGGTCGCCATCGTCATCGTCATCGCTGTTGGTGATAATAATTCAATCTCGAAATGTCGAAGCGTGCAAAACGGCCGTTTGATTTGTGTCAGCGTAAAAGGCGTTTGGAATTGATTGGAGCGGCATGGGATAAGCCACAGAGGCAACGAAAGTGGGCTGTGGCAGCCATTGAACAAATAATTGTGTAGGCAATTGATTATGAACAGTTCTTCTCTTCAGCCACGGGAACACGGCATAAGGCCCAACAACATTGGCAATATATGGCTAAAAAAACAAATGGCCAACAATTATAGATTGGTTCGCTTCTTGGCCCCGTTCACTATACATATTGCTTGGCCGCTTGCCCGCTCGTATATCTTAAATGGCGGTTGCAGATAAGACCCACTAATAAGATAAAAACATTTTAATTGCCACTAAACATGGCAGCGCCACTGCCACCGCCAAGACAAGGGGCCGTCTGTCCGTCTGTCCGCCTATCCGCCCAGACGTTCCACTCACTCAATGAGTGACCGCCTGTAGGCCAAGCAACTGTAAAATTGAACGACGTGCTCAGAAATCCAAGCACATTCTTACAAATGCACACGCAGAGAGAATCCCATGCACTTGCACATCAATCGAGGGCTGTACGATCTGTTTTTCAAATATCTAGGTGAGATTTACGAATTCGATCGAGCTCTGTAGTTCCCTCCACTCGACACTCTGGAAGCTCAATAACACCTTATGTGTTTGAGCTGGAAAACGGGAATTTATTCACCTTCTAGGAGTCTTCGGCCCACCTTAATGCTTATGCGCCAAAAAATGGAACGCTTCCGGCGCGCTTGTTCTACTTAGTGCGGCATTTCAGTTTTTTCGCAATCCAACAAGTGGTTTAGATGACATGGAACAAATAAACATATTTACAAAATCTATTTGTTGTCCTTTAAAGTCCTTAAAGTAATCTCCTCCAGATGCAGTGCAATAATCTAAAAAATCTTTTTCTGGAATGGCCGGTCAGTACTTTCTTCCAATCTGCCTAAATCTCCTCAATTATGTTAAAGCTGTGATATCGATGTTATCTTTTTAATTCATCAATTAGCCAGAAGCGCCACGGAGCTAAATCAGGCGAATATGGAGGTTTTGGAACCATATGCGACTTGTGTGTAGTGTTTTTGGAATAAAACAAGATTTTATTTAACGAGCCTCAGAAGTTTTCTTCTGGTTATCAATCAACAATTTTGGGAACCAATGCTTTTCTTTGCTTAACGTGTTGTTAATCAGTTGATATTTTTGGTCGTCGCTTTCTCCACCCTCTGTGAAATTTGTATTTTTTATAAAATTATTATTTTTATTAACTATTATGTTGCGGATTGACCTTCGACTTTGGCCATAACGCGACAGTTTAAAATTTTGTAAGAGACCACACACTGACATAATTGAAGACTGCAAGTATTTTATTTGTATTAAATCATACTTCTGCGACGACGGTAGTGCCGTGATTCGAACCAGAGCCCATTCTGAAGCAAGCTCACTCCTGCTAGATCTTTTAGTTATGCCTAGCTTAGAACATTTTTTGACATTCATAATCTTTTTGATATACCCGTACCTGAAATCATTCTGCAACATACTTAGCGTTTTGGCTGCAGAAATTCCATGCTCAGCACAATATTAAAAGTCCGTGTTGAATAATTTCAGACATTGTACAATAATAATCGAAATTAATCCTTAATTCCGGATCATATTTTTAAACAATATTATGTCCATTTTATAGGATTTCACCACTTTTCCATTCATCTTTGTCATATCACTATTAAGTAAGTATACATATATTATCATGATATTTTTGCGAACTGATTTTTATACCCTGTACCCGTAGGGTAAAAAGGGTATATTAGGTTTGTGCAAAGTATGTAACATGCAGAAGGAAGCATCTCCGACCCCATAAAGTATATATATTCTGAATCAGCATGACGAGAGAAATCGAT